TCAACCTCCAAAATTCAAAATCTTCTGAAGTCATGAAATAGCATTGTGTGAGAAAATTAAATGGATCATTTGCACTTGTGTGCACTCAGGCAGGATGCTTCAAGACACGACACGTTTGACATCAGCAATCCCAAACATCGTTTCTAGAGCATCTCATGCGAATAACATTTTACATTTCAGTCTGTTCCTCACACAAAGCTATTACTATCTTTGTAAAGCTATGACTTTAGAAAACTTGGACTAGTGCATGAGTCACACAAGTGTAACTTTTGGAACTTAAGCAAGACATTACAATTTTCATGCACTGGTCAGTTTTGAGATTTGGGCTTTTTTGCTTCCATATAGAAAGAAAGCATCCAATATACAAAATTATTATTATTATTATTATTTTATTTTTTTTTTTGCATCTGTACATGGGAATTCCAATACATATATTTAAAGAAATATGCATTTAAAGACCAAACTTTACAGTTTTATTACAATCTTTATTCTTCATTTTATTTTATTTGTTCATATATCATTTGCCTGATTTATTTATTATGTATTTATACATTAATAATATACTTATTTATTAACATTTAATTCCTAAAAACATTGTTATTTTGTTTATAATATTTTCTGATTTCTAAGTGATAAAAAGAAATATCCAAAATACCCGCTGTAAAATACTTTTACTCTAATATGTCAACAAAATGAAACAAGAATTTTGAACCAGGTTTTATCCAATGTTTGCAAATGGATGCAAATGTATGCAAATTAGCACATATTTAATTAGACACTGCATAATTTGCATATTTAAACATTCAATTTGAGAAAACTTGTAATACAAAATATTTGTCTTAATTTACTGTGATTAATCAAATGGGAAAGTATGGTGATATCTATTATTTTAGTCTATTCACATTGAATGTCTTGTCATATGAATGAACGTTCGTTCATTTGTTTATTAAAGCTAATTGATAACCTCTTCTTTCAATGTACTGAAACAAGCAGCATGAATATCATGCAAGAAGACACAAGAAGAGAAAAAATTAGAGATATAGAAAGAAAATAATGACAATTTTAATACAATTTCCACTGTCTAGTTTTTAAAATACTTTAGCTGCCTATAATCAAGCAAAGAGTCAATGAAGCAATGATGGCATTAATGATTATGTAAGTTCACTGTTCTTGGTTTATCAGTCATTTTCTCCTCCGACAATGTCAGCCGGTCCTTCTGTCTCAGCAGACGGGACACATGAGCTCCAGCACAAAGGCATAATGTCTGGCTGCTTATCATGTCTCTGGAGTCGGTCCTCTGACAATAGTCTCTCAATGGAGATGTTTGACTATGTGATTTGCAAATGTGCCCTTTCCATTCAGCAGTCCTATTGACTAAAGACAGACTCTGCTCAGTGTGCAGAGGTGGGCCGTATGATCAAAACTTTATATCAGGATGTGACGTAATTCATATCATGGCAACTGTATATATAAATATTGTTATAGAATGTAAATACTGTTTTTTTTTTTTACTTTTTTTTTAAAAGAAATTAATACTTGAGCAAAAGTAAAGACATTTAAAATGTAACAAAATACTTCTATTTCAAATAAATACTGTTCTCATTCATCAAAGTATCCTGAAAAAAAATGCTTCCTGAGCGGCAAATCAGCATATTAGAATGATTTCTGAAAGATCATGTGACACTGAAGACTGGAGTCATGCTGCTGAAAATTCAGCTTTGCATCACAGGAATAAATTACACTTTAAAACATATTCAAATAGAAAACAGTTATTTTAAACTCTAATAATATTTCACAATATTACTGTTTTTACCGTATTTTTAATCAAATAAATGCAGCCTCTGTGAGCATAAAAGACTTCTTTCAAAAACATAAAAAAATCTTACTGACCCCACACCTTTGAATGCTATATATATGTAGGCATCTCATAAAGTGGGTATAACATGCTGCCAGGTGATGCCAGGGGCAGTTAGAGGGGCTTTGGGGTCTCGCCTCTTGACCAGAGATTTGGATTAGTTTACACCCCTCTTAAAGGTGGCAGCCAAGAGCCTCCTATTTCTGCCTGCCCTATTTAAGGCAGAGGGTGGCAGTCTTTATAGCATGTCATCTCAAATGGCTTCAATGGAGAACAGAGTAGAATTTAAATGTGTGCTAAACTGATTGGAGCTCCTAAAATTAGACAACAGGGATATTAAAAAAATAACACAACGATACGCTCTCGACTGTTTTAAAAGTATTTTTTGGATTGCAGTAATCAAAACATACTCTTGTCGAACAGATAACATAAACACGCCGCATGGGTGTTTTCTAAGACAAAATAATTTATGGTCGTAGCCGTTTTGGACATTGTGACTGGACAGGATTGGTCTGACTGTCTTCTCACAGCATGAATTGCACAATTCTCAGCCAATGCCTGGAATATTTCACCAAATGCCACTGGAAACAGACGAGGGAAATGGAGTCTTGTGACGCAGGATGGTGTGGAGTGACTGTGGTCAAATGCCCACAGGGAAACTGAGCTCTGTGGGATGTTTTCTATTCAGTATTGGGATCGTACCAGCCTGCAGACCACCTCCAGACTGCCCACAGTCCTTTCTGATGCATACCACACACACAAAACAATGACAAAATCTGAATCTCGCCATTTGTGGTCTGATTTATGGATGCTGGTAAACAGATTATACTGCTCTCCAAGCATACTACATGTAACCACTGCAGCACTGAGCATGATTTCTTAAATAAATAATAATACTAATACATGATCAGATTTTCAGCTGAAATGTATGTGAAGTTAATATACCATTTTTAATAATTTAATAATTATTAATTTAATAATAATTAATCATTTTTTCATGTTTTTGATGTCATTTGATCAAAAATACAGTGAAAACAGTAATATTGTGAAATATTATTACAATTAAAAATAACTGTTTTCTAATTAAATATATTTTAAATGTAATTTCTCCCTGTGAATTTTCAGCACCATTATTCCAGTCTTCAGTGTCACATGATCCTTCAGAAATCATTCTAATATGCTGATTTGCTGCTCAGGAAGCATTTTTTTTCAGGATACTTTGATGAATGAGAACAGTATTTATTTGAAATAGAAGTATTTTGTTACATTTTAAATGTCTTTACTTTTGCTCAAGTATTAATTTCTTTTAAAAAAAAAGTAAAAAAAAAAACAGTATTTACATTCTATAACAATATTTATATATACGTTGTGCTGCTTAATATTTTTGTGGAAACCATGATACACTACCGTTCAAAGGTTTGGGGAAAGAAAAAATACTTTTATTCAGCAAGGAAGGACACATTAAATTGATTAAAGTGACAGTAAGTGCAATTATATTTCATTTAAAAAAATTATAGAGAGGCTTGTTTTGTTTTGCTTGTCTCCACACAAATGTTAAATAGCAAAAACTGTTTCCAAGATTGATAATAATAAGAACCATTAATAATAAGTGAGCACCAATTTTTTTCAAATTTGTATAACTTTTATACGAATCAGTGAATAAAACTGCAGTACTGAGTGCAATTTCTTCAGACATTACAAATGGCTAGTATATTCTCCGAGCGACTGAATCTTGCACAAAAAAGTTAAAAAGTTATATAAACTAAAACATATACTGTACTTCCAAACCTCGACAGAATTGCATACATATCCTCCTTGCATTCCTCGCTCTGACTTTCTCTCTCCAGAGAGCTGACCCACCAAATGAGGATGTCTCAAAAAAGGACAACAAATCACATGTCTGAGGACCAGAAGCACACCACAACTTAAAATAAGGAGGCTCGCAGCTTACACCACAAGGTTGTGAGGACAATTCCAGTGACACGGCGGTGTGTGTGTGTGTGTGTGTGTGTGAGAACTTGACTCGACCTCTGTGATCAGCACTACAAACTCACCTGATTAAATCAGTCTCTGTCGCACGCATGGATTATCAGAGACGTGTACACAGACAGCTCTGTCACAAAATTCCAATGAATGCTGATGATTTGATGTCGGACCGACGGATGACCCGAACACAAACTCTACAGTATGTGAACTCTGAGTGGCCATCATTAGTTAATAAAGGAATAATCGAAGCTAGTGAGCTGCCTTGATGTCTACAGACTATACAGGCAGATGTTTATTAAGGGGGTCCTATTATGCTCTTTTACAAAGTCTTGATTTAGTTTTGGGGGTGTACTAGAACAGGCTCTCATACTAGGTTGTTCAAAAAACCAAAATCAAATCAATTTGAGCGCGATTTAAACCCGGATGATTGTAACCGCTCTAAGTTCATCTGTCTTGGGAAAGCTAGCGTGTCTCCGACACAGTGATAACACTCATTGCCTTCTCTAGTGCAGCTCAACCAGGTCTCGTCCCATTCGTCGATATTTGTGACATCACAAATCCCGGAAAACATGCATTGTAGTCCAAACGAGTCGTTCATTGTAGTTTTTGAAAAGTGATTTCTGTTAAATAAAATATCTCCTTTTGAAGTGGACTTTGAGCTTTGTAACTTTGCAGATCTTTTTTATGCTCAAACAGCAACATTACAGACTAACTAAAGTTGAAAAAGTGAAAAAGCATAATAGGACCCCTTTAAGGAAGCATCCAAGTAATGCTGATTAAAAAAAGACTTGTGTAAATAAATAGTAAAAATGATTTCTAATAAATAAATGAATAAATACTGCAAATAAATCATTTATAATAATTTATTCATTTGTAATAAATAAATAAATATTCAAATAAATAATTTATGTATCTATGTAAAATATCTGAATTTAAATAAATAAATAAATACATACCTACATACATACATATATACTGTTTCAAGTAACTTACAATTGAAACAAATAAAATAAAATAAAATGTAGAGGATTTACAAGCAGAAATGTGAAACTAGTATTTTTGTAGTTGTCTGAAGCGAAAATAGAACTGTTTTAAAACTTTTGGGAAAGTCTAATAATTTCCAGTCATTTGTTGATAATGAGACTACAGCTTCACTCACCCTCCACTGAATCTTCACAGCGCTGGTTGAAGTTCTCGTAAGAATCCCAGCGAATCAGAGGATCTTGGGTATTGTAGTCCACAGAAACACTGGGCCCGTTCTCAAGGTGGTCCGTTCCTATGACAGAGCATCCAGACTCAGAAGCTGCTAGGCTCAGTTTACGTCCTATTTCCCAATATTTCTGTGATTTATTTAAAAGCTGAACATGAATGACGATAAATAGAGTTCTTACCTTGGATTTTTTCTGGGCCGAAAGAAAAGACAAATTCCACTTTTCCATATTCAGGAAATCTGTCATCTGAAAAAAGAAATGGACTGATCAAGCCAGTGTCACCAATACAGCTGATTTAATTCAAAACATGAAACCAACCAAACATAGTCTGAGATGTCACAGCATAGCCAAAAGTATGACTATACAAGGCAAATCCAGCATACCTTTAAATGTTTCATCAAGCTCATCTTTGCCGAAGATGATGCCCAGATCATGAACAGCACAGGTGTGAAACTGCACTCTGAAGATGACATCACGGGACGGGCTGCGGAAGCGTTTGTGATAACACTTGAGCTGTGGAGGACATGAGAAACCACATTACAGCAACAGGTGAAACACACACAGACCTGAAATGGTAAAAGAAATCATGCACTATTACGAACCGAAAATATGCTGGTTTTCAGCCAGGCAGAATAAGGTCATACAAAGTAGACACTTGAAGCATTACAGTTATAAACAACCATAAATGTTCAGGTTAAACACAAGTTAAGTTTGATTAATAATAATGTTGATTACCACTAAAAAATAATTTTGACATTTGCAAATAAATAAATAATTATTATTATTAACAAATAATAGTTATAAATCAATCAAATACATATATACATATTTATTAAACAATTAAATAATAAAAACAACAATAATCAAATAATTTATTATTATTAACAAATAATGGTTATAAATAAATAAATAAACAAACAGAAACACCATCATTTTGGAGGATTTCATAAATATTTTTTTAATGTTTTGTTATTTATAAATAATAAATAAATAAATACACTAACTTTCGTACAAATGTAGCAACACTTTCAAAGATTTACGAACAGAAATGTGCAAGTGATTTTTTTGTTATTTATAAGTTGTCTGAAGCGTGAATAATACTGTTTACTACTTTTCTAAAAGGATGAATTTCTGGTTTGCATTGCCAGTGTAATTCCTGTGAGTGGAGATTGCTTCACTTAAACTTGTAACCACGATTTCTGCTTCTTTGTTTTCAGCTGAGGGATGAGTTGAAATGACTTTCTGTCAGTAGATCTTAACTTGTATTGAACCCAGAACATTCCTTTAAGAGCATGGCAAATCCTTCAAATGTAATCTCGCATCAACACACGCACATTCAGCACAGGAAGTTCTATTCATGGGCTTGGAACAGATTGTTTGAGTGGTTTTGGATGCTGGTCGCCTCGTCTTCCCATGGTGCAGCAGAGCCAGAGATGTCAGTATAGTGAAAGTATGTAAAACAACAGAACCTCTCCAAAACCCAGACAAGGACATAAAAATGTCCTCACTGGCCACTGAGGAAACTGTAGCCCTCTTTCTTTTGCCCAAAATAACTATAATTAACCTACTTAACTTGGGGCAGATGGACATAAAATTTACAGCTTTTCAGTTCAGAGAGTGAAACAAAACAAACATGACTGAATTGAGCAAGATGGGGACTGGCAGAGCGTCCTGCGGTTTTCCCAAAATGCAGCAGAGGCTCAGCCGCACACATGGGGGGTCCGCCTCGGAAAAACGTATCTCAGCGAGTTACAATTAACAAAATGAAGCTTATAAAAACCAAGCATTTATCTAAGACTATAAAAAAAAATCAATAAAATAATGATGGAGATTAAACAAAGGGGATGCATAGAGTACCACATATTGAGAAATTCATGTTAATTTTGCTTTTTTAGTGCTAACCGTATATTGATCTACAATATGCTTTGGCCGAAGTGCAATGCAATGTTGTGGTTTGTATTCGGGTTAGAATCCTCTATAGATCAGCTCTGATTGATTTTGCTTACTAAGGACTTCTGAAATCAAGCCCATCAGAGAAAGAGCCACTCTACAAGCACAGCATTATGGCAGATGATAAAGCACTCTGCTCTTTTTGGCTTTCTCTTCCAAAAAGCTTTCTGAGGTAAAATGCAAATAAATCCATGCAGAGAAAAGTGGCTCTCATCAGGAATGAACGTCTGATGGATGTCCCTCTAGACAGCCTGCTTTATTATTGGTGTTGCTCTGAGAAATGCCTATAAATGGAGGAAGAACTTGTGCCAAGCTGCTTTCCTTCAGTTTCTGTGGTCTTAATTCAACTCAGAACAGATCATAGCTAACCTCAAAATCAAAGAAAAACAATAAGTAATTACATTTTATGTAAGACAATTTTAGGATCAGTAGGATTTGTTTGCAATGTGACAATAATTTCACAACAATTAAGCACAATTAAGCAATTTTCCAAATTGTTTTACTTTTGAATTTTTTGTGGGGATTTCTATTATTCACATTAATGATGATTCTCATTACTGTAACAAATTAACATTATTAGTAAACTGTGGACTTGATTTGACTCTTTCTGTTGACTTGAATGGTGATGCTTCCTGTTTGTCAGTTGATGGCCTTTCATTTTTAACCAGAAATGTGCACGCTGCTTTTCTGATGTTCACTGAAGTTTTCTGTGTCTTTTTCCCATGTCACTTGAAATGTTTCCTTTTTGAATCGTTGCTACCAAAGGCGAGACACGTGAGGAAAAAATAAGTAGCGGGACTATATTCTGTCATAAACTGCATACCATTAATTGCTGAACTTTCTACTGTCCGTTACTGGAAATGAAATGAAATTACGGGTCGATATGTCCCTGAGTATGTATCAGTCTTTGCTTTCATCTTTCTCTGCTGAAGTCCATACTGCCAAATCTTCATACTTCCACAACAAGATCAACAGCGCTCCAGACACACGTAATCTCTTCAAAACTTTCAATTCTCTCCTCTGTCCCCTCCACCACCTCCCACCACTTCTATAACAGCTGATGATTTTGCCACATTCTTCACAGACAAAACCAGAACAATCAGTAGTCAATTCTCAGCACCCCACACACAGGACTTCAAATCAACCACACCCACTACTAAAACTCCCATATTCTCCTTCTGTCCCCTCACTGAGGCAGAAGTATCAAAACTTCTGCTCTCCAGCCATCCTACAACATGCCCTCTAGACCCAATCCCCTCACACCTCCTCCAAGCAATCTCTCCTACACTTTTACCACCACTCACACATATCATCAACACATCTCTCCTCACAGGCACCTTCCCCACTGCATTCAAACAGGCTCGGGTAACCCCACTGCTCAAAAAACCTACATTAAACACTTCACTTACAGATAGCTACAGACATGTCTCTCTCCTTCCGTTCATAGCGAAAACTCTTGAACGAGTTATTTTCAACCAGGTATCATTGTTTCTTTCACAGAACAA